GCAGGGGCAGGGGGAGGAATACCTGTGCTGGTGGGATGGAGGTGTGCACGCTGCCGGTGGGTGTGCAAACCTGTGGATCCTTCTTTCACTCTCCTCTCTCTTACTCTGTCCTGGCCCTCCTTGATGCCTGCGTGCGGCAGAGTGGAGCAGCTCTATCCCTCTTCCCTCCCTGCACCGCCACTACGGCATGACCACGCAGTCTGCTGATGGCGAGAGCAAACACCTCTGCACTCCTTCCCCTTTGCCTCACCTCCAGTGAATTTTCAACCAGGAATAAAGGGTGTGGTTTCAACAGCCTTGTTTTCCAGACCCAGCCCAGGGCAAATGGTGCCACCGGGTGAGTGCCCCATGCCAGGGCAGGGCTGGGAAGGTGCTCCCTGGCACTGGTCCCTGGAGCAGCCCCTGAGCCATGCCCATACTCCTCACCAGCCCCCAGTACAGATGTGATCTTCCAGCAGGCAGAGCAATGCCTCATGGGTGCTGGGCGGCCTCCCAAAGCAGCGGGCGTTGCTTCCTCAAGGATCCTGGCTGGATTTGTTAGCCACAACACAAACAGCCAGGGCTGTGCCAGGAAAATGCACCAAACCCTCCCCCGGGAAGGATTTAGCCAGGGGGTTTCCTTGGGCTGCTGCTGATGGAAAGCTTGCAGAAAAGAGCAGATGGCAGCAGAGACTTTGGCCAGACCATACTCGGGAAGACTGGGGGAGTGATGCCTGGATGAAATTAGAGATTTTTCCATGTAGCTGGGACTTGGAGAGGTTTGAGAGGTGGGCGAGGGCTACCCCGCTCTTCTGTCCCATGGATGGAAATCCCAGCTGCCTCTGGCCCTGTGCAGGCAGCCCTGCGCTCCCCCAGCAGCAGGGCTCGCCCCATCCCACCAAACCCTGGGGAGCTGGCCCCAGGGCTCCAGTGTTTGTTATTGCTCGTGCAGTGTAATACTAACCCTGGGATAGTAATTCACACCCTGGCTCTTGAGGCTGGGAGCTGACCTGAGAAGTGACTGCAGTGGGCAGCCAGCTCCCTTAACCAGGCTGGAAATGCTTTAACAGTTTCTGCTAGAAAGGGCTGTGTGATTGCCCATACCCAGTGGGCATGGTGGGATGGACCGTGGGGTGGACCCTGCACTGCATCCAGGAAGGCAGCGAGCACAGATTTTGGCACAACAGCAAGTGTGCTTTCACAGGCTCAAACCATTCAGGGCTTTACAGCACCAGTGGCAGGCTGGTGGTGGCTGTGCTGGGCTCCCCTGTCAGCATCCCCCAGTGGTGGCCCTTTCCAGGGCCCTTCCCCAAGCCCCCCTCTCTCACACTGCCTTTCCTGCTGCCATGCTCTTCCCAATTACTTCCAGCCTAATTTGCCCTGACAGCCTCCTTCATGCTGTTATTTTCCCGGATGGCCAGTAATGGGATTAGGGGTGTGCAAATCCGGAAGTAATGGAAGGTGAATGGCGGGAGCGGCACATTGGCCCCCACTGTGGGGTACCCCATGCTGCTTCCCACAAGCATCTCGTGGGCCTTTTGATGGAATCACTCATCTGGCAGCTCCCCCTCAGCCTCTACTGGTCTATTTTTATGCCACACTGGAATTTTCTTGTCAAATAAGAGTCTCACATTGAGCTGGGTAGGGCATATTTCACAGCAAATTGTCTCAGCTGAGCAGGCCCTTCACTTGCACAAGTGCAGGCTGAAGGCCTCTGGGTCATGCCTTCACTGGTGCACCATCTCCCTGCTGTGCAGGCATGCTGGGGGGATGTGATGTGAGAAAGGTGGGAGCCTCTGCCCCACTCCATTGAGGGAGGACAGGAGCAGAGCCAGGGGCTGCCACCCTGGCAGATGGGCTGGTTTGTTACGTGGAAATAGCTGTTTTTTCTTGCTGTGTTAGCAAAACAAACCCAAATCGGCTTATGTTACTCACCCTGCCTGCTGAAATGCCAGTGACTTTTCCAGTCATTACCCTGGTAATCGCCAGGGCCAAGTTGCTCAAGGGGGATATTTGGGCAGGCAGCCTGTGCCCACAGCTCTAGTGTGCCTGGGAGCTCTCACCCTGCAACCCTGACCCAAGAACTTGGGAAACTCCTGGGGAGTGCTCGAGGGCTGTGGGGACCTTGCACAAAACATGCTGAGGATGGACCTGGGGAGCTGGCGCTGGCTCTTGCCAAGGGACCAGGGAGGAGATCCTTGCCATAACAACAGCATCCAAACAAACAAATGGGACAGCCCAGGTTTGTCCTCGGGCCATTGCTAAGCCATCGAGGAACACTGGCGCCTGATCCTCTGGGATGGAGCCTCACCCACAGATTCCTATCAGGGCACAGACAGCTGAAGCATGCTCTGCTCTAATGGTTAAATTAGCTGGAACAAGGTCTTCAGATAAGATAAAGCTGTGGTTTGCTGAGGAGGCTGTTCTCCGTTGGTGTTGGCTGCATTGTTTCCCTTGCAGGCTGTGAACCTTGCTTTGAAGAGATGCTTGTGTTTGGATCTGGCTTTGCTGAAGGTGCTGCCTCTGCCTCTCTTCTGCTGCTACCTGGAGCCATCTGCGTCCAGCACCAGAGTTGCCCACTGCCTGCCCTTGCCTATGTGCGTTATGGGCAGCATCCCACTGCAGAGGAATGAGCTTACTGCTGCTCCAAGATGGCTCATGGACAGTTACAGCTCAGTTTTGGCTCCTGGGTGTACCCTGGATGGCAGAAGGGGTGGTGACCCCTAATGTTGGGCTGCCACAGCATTTCCAGCCAGCTCCTCCCAGCACAGGCCAATGGGAGCTTGGTTTATTGCCCTGCCACATGCTGATGTTTTTCACACACCGTCATTTGGAGTGTTTATGGACTCACTCCCTGTAAAACAAGCAAGAATGCATACCCCGTGAGCTCTCAGGGTGCTGCTATGCTCTGGGAGCACCTGCAACCTTTCCTCCCTCCCTGCCTAGGGCCCTCCACCATCTTTGCTGCACTGCCCCATTGCTGTGTACCCATTCTGATTGATGGAACAAGAGCATGGTAACGGCTATGAGCAGGATGCATGAACAGCTCTGGTGAGGCACAGGAACCGGGGCTGCTGTCCTGCAGCAGCCTTCACCCTGATATCAGCTCACTGTAATCCCCATTGGTTCGCATGATGCACTGACAGTTTGGCTCACCCCTTTGTGAAGCAAGCTAGGGGCAGCCCAAGGTGAGGCCATCCCACAGCACAGCAGGGCTGGCCAGTCTGAACTAGGGGCTGTGTGGGGCGGACATCAGGCACAGAGCCTGGTGTAGGCAAGGCTGGCACAGAGCAGCATGCAGCTTGGTGGCGCCTGCCTTGTCAGAGCTGCCACCAGCTTTGTGCCCACTCTTGCTGTGTAGACAGTCTCCAGTAAATCCATGGGAGCAGAGGGGAAGGGTGGCCAGGCTTTGCCTCAGCTGCATCAGCCCAGTGCACAGGAGGAGCTGGGCTGAGTGGTCCATGGGGACTAGCCACAGGGCAGGGTCAGCTGAAGGAGACCTGTGGGAGGCTGCTTTTCAGCTGCCCGCTTGCACAAAACCTGCCTTAAAAGGGAGCATAGCTGAGGACGACTGTCCTAGCCAGGCAGTGCCCTCAAAGCAGCCTGGCACCATGTGGGAGGGGGAGCATGGCCATGAGAGAAGGGAGAGGGCATGCCTTGTCCCCTGTATTTTGTCAGGTGCAGGGAGGGGGTCCTGGCCTGGACAATGCAGCTAGGAGCTCCGGCTCAGTGCAGGGGCACGTGGTGTGGCTGAAATACAGTGCTTACATGTGTGTGGTGTCTTGCACGAGGGGAAGGATGGGGAGCGTGCAGGGTGGAGGAAGCAGCCTTTGCAGGACACCTCTCTCCTCCCATTCTGTGAGACACTGTCTCAGCATGACTCATGCGTTAGCTGGGAGCGGGTTTTCCAGCGATGTCACAGCCCTCACAGGCTGCTGACCACCTTGCTGAGCCCTGCAGTGCCCATTCACGTGTCAGAGGTGCTCCCCAGCCCAGCACCACAGACAGCAGCGGGCAGAACGGGTCGAGGGATCCCGCTGCGAACGGAGGCTGGAGCCAGGCTGGGTTATAAAGCAATCACAGCTGAACTTCTATGGGCATAGCTTGCCACCTCTCCTCCTGCACCCACGGGCGGGCTCCGGTGTCAATAGGGCCCTGTTTGGGCAGGCGAAGGGTGCCCTGCATTTCGGGAGGCAGACACTAGGCGTCCTGGCGCTGGGTTCCACAAGCCCTCATGACCTTCCCAGAACAGCAACGTGCCCTGGGGAGGATTGTTTCATACAAAACAGACCTTTGGATAGGCTTTTCATTTCCTTCACAGCCAAGCATGAAGGAACAGCAAGTCCTCGCTCCTAATAAAATGACAACAGTCAGCGACGTAGATGGGTTGGCTCTCGACAGTGAGTGGAGCCATGTCCCGCACCCACGCCATTCCTCAGGTCCTGCAACGGGAGTTACAGCCATATGTCTATCTTCTGCTTCACCTCGTACCCCAAACTTCCCCATGGGCAGAACACCCCACCTGAGGGTCGACTTTTACACTGTCTTGGGAGAAAACAGACCTGTGCTCCGAGGGGATGAACCCTGGTGGTCAGTACCCCATGTATCCGGGAGTGTGATTGACAAATGCCAATCACACCCCAGCCCCACTCAGAGTGGGGCTGAGCCACCCATACCGCACAAGCATGGGCAGGGAGCAGGTAGGGAGCCAGGGTGCAGCGAATCGGGGTGCAGACAGGGCACGGCTGGAAAGCGTGGAGTGTGCAGGGGGTATTGAGCGCAGTGGGTGTAGGGGTGCAAGGGGTGCAAGGGCTGCAGGATGCAAAGGGCATGGAGGTGAAACGGGTGTAAGGGTTGCAGGAAGCGCAGGTGGAGGGACTGCAGAGGCAAGGGGTGCAGAGGTGCCGGGGGTGCCAGCCCCGCCCCGGGACACCCGGCAGGGCTGTGCTCCGCGCTCGTGCCTCCAGCTGCGGGCGGGGCCGCACATCTGGGCGGGGCGGGGCGGGGCGGGCGGGCAGTGACCCTGGCGGACTCAGAGCGGAGCATCCCACAGGCGGTGAGAGCGGCGCCCGAGCCGAGGAGAGCCGAGACCATGCCCAAGTGCCCCCGCTGCCAAAAGGAGGTCTACTTCGGTAAGGGCTTCCCGCTACCTCCCGCCCCCCTCCACCCCTCGGGGTCCGCCGGGCTGCTTAAGCCGGGGTACACTAACATTGCACCCCTCAGGGCTTCGGGTCCTCAGGCACCCTGGCGCTTACAGGTCCGTCTGCACCCAGCGCTGCAAGTCTGGGTACTCAGATGTCGTAGAGCCCATCACCGCAAATTGATAGGGTGCCCCAAAGTTGTGCAGCCCTATGCAGTGGCTCCCTGGGGTGCCCTGGCTGGGTGGCCCTATAATGCACCCAAAGAGATGCTTTGCTGCAGGGAGTGGTATGTGGTGGGTGGCCCAGCCTGCAGACAGGGTCATGGCACAACATGGGAGCTCAGTCCTGTTTCCTTCCTAGCATTGCCCACAGCCCCCTACCAGTTTGGAGCCCAAAAGCCCAGCTGGTCCAGCCCACTGCTCTGAATGCCTGGGCAAGCAAGCACCTTCCCAAAGGCATGTTCCTGGGTCAGTGGGTTGCCCACATGTTGTCCTATGTGGTTTAGCAGAGTGAGGTGACTGCTCTGGGGCATTATTTTTAAACCACCATTACAGGCTAGTCATGAGTCTTACTGGGCTCACTGCAAACAAGACATAAGGGACCCAAGTGCCGTCACTTTTGCTCGCTCTGCCATATTTCTGCTCTATTTACGTGTGTGTCCCAACTTCCACCTGTGCTCTGCCAAAGAATCTGGAGGCTCGAGCACAGGGCTGCCTTCCCTGTCAAAGAGCTGTGTCTGTTAGTGATGCTCACCCTTGAGAGGTGTGCTGGGGCTGTCATGGGCGCTGCCTGGAGGGTGGCTGGGGATGTGGCTCCTGTGGTTGGGGAACACCACTTTGCCTGAACTTGAGCTTGCCACTTGCAGCCAGGCTTTGAGGTGGGGCTTTGGCACAACGCAGTTCATGGCTCTCTCCTGCAACTGAGGGTCTTGGGACACCTCATTTACCCATGTGGCTTGGTATCAGGAGCTACCAAGGTGCTGGTGTCAGTGTCTGCCTTTCCCTGTGGATGGGCTTTGATCCCAGTCAGGGCGAGCTGGGTTTGCCATGCCTGCAGGTGCGGCTGTGGAAGTGCAGGTCTGGGGCTGTTTGACCAAGGAGGAGTTTGGCCCCATGCTTATCAGGCTGCTCTTACGAAACCTCTCTGTTGGTGCAGAGGCTAAGGAGGGTTCAAAACCTGCAGGAGGACCAAGCTCACTGCCTCATTTCTGTGCCTGCAGATAAGGACACGGGCAGAGGAGGCAGAGCAATCCCTGCTCCCGGGCACACTGGTGCTCTCAGAGCCTCGTGGTCCTGCTTGGCTGTGCCTTGGGCTGCTTTCAGCCAAATCATGTCTATAGAGAGCAGGGGTGAGGAGGAGACGATGCTGAGGACTGGGGATGGGGTTTGCAGGACCACCACCAGCTTTCCAGGGAAGCCTTGCCTGCATGGCTGAGGGCTGGAAGGGTCCCGTTGCAGCGAGCCTTGGCAGAGCTGCTGTCCGATGTTGGTACAAATACTTGTGTGAAAGGTGAGGAGGCTGAGCTCCTTCCAGTAACCCAGTGATGGGAGGGCTCTGCTGTGAGCCAGGCTCAGGGGGGCTATGTAGGGGGAAGACACTCTGGCCCCCGCAGGGCTGCGGGCACAGGAGACTCTTTGTGGTGCTTGGGGATGGCAGCAGGGCTGCCTCATGACATTTGGGCACTGCCCGCACTCCCACCTCTGCAGCTGCCAGCTTGCTTCTTGCATAAGCTGTTGTGGGCATATTTGGACTCCAAAGAAGAGATGCTTTAGGCTGCTGAGGCCTCTCCCCCGGGGCATGTTGTGCCAGCAGTGACCCTGTCCCATTGCTTGACATGCTTTTGGAGGCATGAGGAGAGTGCTCAGACGGGGCTCTGGTGGGGTTCCTGTGGAAAGCTCTGCTTTATCACTTAATAAATCCCCAAGAGTGCAGATGCCAATATGAAGAGCACGTGCGCCTGCAGAAAATACCTTCCTCCCCCACTGTGCTGCAATTAAAAACCACTCCGTGTTTCCCCCTCTCTCTATAAATGTGTCCTGGCTGCAGCAAACAGCATGTTGTCCCCCCTGCTGCTGCCTGAACCCCATCTAAGCTCCAGCCCCGCTCTGGTTTGCCATGGTGCATAGAGAATCAGAGCTGGGGCCAGAGCTCTGGTGGCTGGAGGGAACTGGTTTGTGCTGGCAGGGTGCAGTGATGGCTTTGCCATCCTGATCCTTGCCAGCATCTCCCCTTCACCCCTGCCAACTTCAGTGATCACTTGGGCTCCAGACAGCTAGGGAGAAATTCACCCCCTTTCAGGCTGATATTGGAAATGGGGACATCCTCAAATCCTTGGAGGATGGATACAACTCAGTCTGTCTGAATGGATGTGGCAATGTTCACTCTGGGCATGGCACTGCTGTTGCAGATCCTGGTGCCTGGATGTACACAGCAGTGTGTGTGCACAGCAAGCACTTGGGTTTGAAACATGGTGCCCTCTATCCTGGACGAATAGACTTGAGAAAATGCCCCAAAATATACACCTTCGGGCTGATGACAGGGAGGCCAGCTTGCCCAAACCAACCTGTTCAGTGCCTTGGCTAACCCATCTCCTTTCCATGGCAGCCGAGAAGGTGACTTCTCTGGGGAAGGACTGGCACAGACCCTGCTTGAGATGCGAGAAATGTAACAAGACCCTGACATCTGGAGGCCATGCAGAGGTGAGGTTTGCTGCCCAGGAGGTCCCTGTTCCCTGCAGGTAGGGATGGGCGGAGATAGAGACAAAAGGCGGTCAGGGCTGATGCTCTTTCTTTCTCCCTGCAGCACGATGGCAAGCCATACTGCAACCACCCCTGCTATGCCGCCTTGTTCGGGCCCAAAGGTAGGGTTGTTGTGGCTGGGGCTGTGAGGGAAAGGGGGCTTGAGAGTCCTGTTGCTGCCCAGCGGTGATGCTGACTTGGCTCTGTCTCTCTTCCAGGGTTTGGCCGGGGAGGAGCCGAGAGCCACACATTCAAGTAAACCTCAGGTTGGTGCCTGCCCTTGGAGCTCCCCTCTGGCTCTAGCTCCATGGGCTGGCTGGGGCTGTCCTCCCCCAGGCGAGTGGGCAAGGCACATGTACCACGGTGTCTCTCTGGGCTGGCCGTGACGCCTGTGCTTCGGAGCAACCTACTGGGTGCCAGCTCCTCCTCCCCACCAGCCCCAAACTATTGTCACCACCTGCTTAGCTCCAGCAGTGGATGACAAAAGCTTTTGCTTTGTGGCCTGTCGGCAGAGACAACCTGTCCTGGAGCACTGCTGTCCATGGGATGCCTCTGCTCCCTGCCCAGCCTGTCTTCATCTGCCCCTCTCTTCCATCCCTCTCCAGGTCTGACGGCCAAGGTTCCCAGCACAGCCTGAAGACAGCATAAACACACTGCGACAGACATGCATTTTTGATTTTAATTCACTCTGTACTAGACTAGCCCATTAAAAGCAATAAGTAACCAAGGCTAGGGCTGGTGTGGAGAGGGGCTCCGCTCCAGATGGAGCTCTGCTGGGATGGGGCGTTGGATGCCCTGCCGGACAGGAAATTAGCCCGTATTGCTGAAAGCCACCTGGAGAGGAGACTGCACCCTTTCAGCCAAAACCCAGCCCTGCTTCTGGCACCCAGCTCTCATGGATGGGCCCACAGTTGTATTCTTATTCTTTAATAAACCAAAAGATGCTTCCCCCATGTAGCAGCTGTGCTCTTTGTAACAGGGGTACTGTGGGACTTGCTTGCAAAACGCTTGCTGCTTGCTTGAAGACACCGTGTGATGGCTCCATGTGCTTTTGCTCCTGGTGTGTGCAGGGTCCTGCCCTTGGCTGTCCACCCCAGGTGCTGCCTGAGCCCTGAGGGGTGAGAACAGCACCCGGGTGCTGAGTGCACTCCAAGGGAAAGGGATGATGGGTGTTGTGCCAGTGCTTGTCTGGAGTTGGGGTGTCCCTGAGCTCAGAGGGAAGGTCCTGCCCCACTCATAGCCTCACTGGGTCGGTGTCATGACATTTGCAGAAGTCTAGAGCACGGTGGTTCCTGCTGTGAGCCACCTCTTGTCACCTGCGGCTGTCACGGGGTTAATGCACAGGCACGTAGTGCTGCTGGACAAGGGTCTGAGACCGGTGACCTGAGGTCTCTGAGGCACCCAGCAGCCTCCTGGCCATGTCCCAGCCCCTGGCAGTGCCTGCTGGAAAGCCATGCCCATGGGCAGCCCCCAGCTCTTTGCTCCTGGATCTGAGTTGGCACTTTGCAGCCCTCAGCTGAGGCAGCAAGGTGTCTTCCTAGGAGGTGGTTGATTGGAACATCAGGAAAACCTAGTATTTGCTGCTTCTGCTCTGAGCAGCCATATGAAAAGGCCAAGTTACTGGCATGGCAGAGCCAGCCTCCCTCAGTTGGGAAAGCAAAGATGCAGTATTACAAAGTGAGGTCTGGCTCACAAGTGCTTTTCTCTTTCCTGTTTCAACCTCTGTGTGCTGCTTCAAGAGCAGCACTGACAGATATAAAGCATGTTGACTTGAGGGATGTTTCTAAAATGGTTTCATAACCATGTCTTTTGTTAACCTGAACCACCCCATTAACATATTCAGACATACTTCACAACACAGTTTTTGTCTACAGTTTGTGCATACATTTCCTTAGAGACTTCTCTGCATCTTACTGTCACACCAGCCTTCCTGGGGCTTGGCCAGAACCCTCAGGGGTCAGAGATACATCCAGAATCCAGTGTCAAAATCTTTGTTGTCAAAAGCAGCCCAATCTGATGAGTATCTTAAAACATCCCGTGTGCTTGATGCCAAGAGTCTTTGCATTCACTAAGCACACTCCAGTGGGATAAACTCAAACAGCTGGCACTGCTTTGCCTCCCACCCAGTTAGCATAACAAATGCAGGCGTCTGTGTCAAAGGCAAATCCTGGCTGTTGTTGTTTGGTCACCACCGCTGCTCCCAGCCAGCCAGAGCACATAGGGCTCCCTGCCCTCCCACTCCCACCACTGCTACCCTTGCCACCAGCCTCCTGGGAATGCCAGCACCCACAGCTCCTGGCCAGCAAGACACAGTCCTGCTCTGCAGAGCCGCTGGCATGCAGCCCGCCCCTGGGGCTCTGGGACATGGCTTTCCTCTGTGAACTGGGCTTCAAAGCAAACTAGTGATATAATCCCAGCAGCCCTGAGCTAGTGAGATAGCTTTTTACCCTCAGGATTAAAAATGATGGCAAGCACAAGCCTCGTCATCCTCTGGATTTGCGTGTGTCCAGCTGGAAAAGGGACCCATGAGTTGGGCTTCTGTTCTTTCCCAACAGGGTCCAGCACCAAAACTTTTCAGGAGCAGCTAATTCCAGATGCAAGGGTCCAAGCCAGTAGGGATGAGCAGCTACCAGTGAGAGGTATGGAAAAGCAGGTGCTGCACAGGGAGAGGCTGGGGCAACCCAGCTCTCAGCTAAAGGCCCTTTCTGTGGGCAGAGGCCGGGGCAGGAGGCAGTGTGTTGCTGTTTGCAGTATACTGCCTGGGGCTGCTGAGTGCTTTGGTCCCTGCCACCGATTTACACTGTAGGTGTGGTGGGTGGGGACGGCTCACTCTGCTCTGGGTGCACAGAGGGATGTGGGGACTGAGCTGTGCCTGCAAAGGCACTAAACCTGGTCCTGGAGCTGTCCCACTCTGTGCTCCACATGGAGGAGGTTAAAAACTGGGGTCTTCCAAGCAAGATCTGGGGACAAGCCCTTGGGTATCGATTCCCAAAAAGCTCCTGAGCATCCTGTTTCTTTGTCCGCCCTGCTGTAGGCACTCCCACTGAGATGGTGTTTAGCCCCAGGACTTGCTGTAAGGATACTCCCCTCTGAGCTCTGTGCTTGTACAAGTCACACTCTCTGCCTTCTCCAGCCTTGATGCTGTGAGGTTGGGCAGTTCAGGCACAGGTTACATCCACAAGGAGCCTTGGTCAAAGAAAATACATGATAAATTGATTTTGTAAAACTTGCTTCAGCCTTTGGAGAGGAAGCAGGAACAGCTGTATCACATTTGGATAGGAAATCCTCGCCCAAGCTCTGCGCTCCCCTCTGATGCGCACTGAGGCTCAGCAGCAGCCGGGGAGGTGAGCTGTCAGCAGACACAATCTTTTATCCATTGGACAGTAAATCTCCATGGCCTGGGGTGTGAGCTGTGCAGACAGGCAGCAGCGTGGCTTCCAGAACAGCTCATCTGAGGTGCTTTCAGCTCCCAGCCCTGGTGGGAGCTGCGGATGGACAGGAATGGTCCCTTCCCTTCCAGTATGGCAGGAGCCTCCTTGGTAGTGCTGCTCCTGCAACAAGGGAGCCAGTGAGAGCAGGCTGCTCACAGAAAACACCATCTTCCTGAGCAGGCACAGGATGCTGGCTCGGTGGTGTGCCCCACCAGCTGCTTCCACCTCTCGAGGCAGACAGCAGACCCCTGGGAGGTGGCTGGCAGCCCCCATGTCCCACCTGGTCACCAGACAGCAGCCATGGGGTTATTACTCCTATCACAGGTAGGGTCAGGGCACTGCCCCAGCCCCGAGGTGCTCCTCTGGGACAGCAAAAGGTGGTGGTGGTGTGGTGATACCCATATTTGTTAACCTGAAACCCAACCATTGCTGACCACAGAGGAAGAAGCTGTGCTTTCTCTGCCCTTATCTCGGAAGCTTGGGCTGAGATCAGTGAAGTTTGTGGATTGTTGAGCGATGGTTGCTATAAACACTTCATCACTGTGACAAAAAAACAAACATCACCACCAATTCTCTGGCAGCTGGGTGTGGGTGAGCCCAAATGCTCTGAGGTGGGGAAGCAGAAGAGGGTTTGGCAAAGGACAGGAAGTAGCATGGGTTCAGAAACTGAACTGCTGCTGCTCTCCACCCTGGTTCTGCGGCTTTCTGTACAGGAGAAAAAAGGGGAGGAGGGGAGAAAGAGGTCTGGGGAAGTCTTTCAGCTGATCTATAAGAGGTGTGGATCTTACTTTAGCCCCCAGTGCTGAATAGTGCAGGCAGGAGGGGCTGGTGTGGGTTGCCTGGCCTTGAGTCTTTCTCCCAGCACAGATTGGACAGACCTTAATCCAAAGCAGGGGACAGATGCATGCCTAAGCCTGCAGCTGGCAAGGGGAGAGGGGCGGCTTAGGCTGGAAGCCTCACAGCAGGGTGCTGCCCTCAGCATTGTTCCCTAGGGCTGTCCTTAGTGAAAGCAGCAGCCACAGCTTGGGGACATGGCTGTGTCTTGCCAGCATGGCGACAGCAGCAAGCTGCAGCGTACATCTGGGCTAACATGTGCTGGGTTTGGTTCAACACTGCCTCGCTGAGATGCCAGTGGTGCCACCCCGCCAGCACTGATGGGGACACTGATGTGTCACCTTTGGCATTTCCCTTGCGGTGGTTCTGTGTCTTATCCGGGCAGCCTCCAGTGCCTCGTGGACACAGGAGCCCCTGCACACAGGTGAGGCCAGGCACCTGCCCTGGGTTGGTGACAAGTTTGTTTTCCTGCCGATGTGTTTCTGCAAATAAAGCTGTGCCCCTTCCAGGGACAGGCAGGACCAGGGAGCATGTCATGGGGGCTGTGGCTGCAGCAGGTTCCTGCTCTTTGCTGTGTGGGGCTCCTGGGGACAAAGCTGGTCTGTAACTGGGTGATATCCAGCTCACTACAGCTTTGGATATTTCTAAGGCTGGTTTGTGTTAAGCTCAAAGAGCTCTGGTATCTTTTAGGTCAAGAAAGTGTCTGCCCATCACCTAACACCTCAGAAATCTGCCTCCTTATCCAGGCAACGGCAAGAGGGTCCATGCAGCTGATTTGCAGGAATTCTGCAAGCTTGCACAGCAACATGGGGCTTCCTGGCCCAGCTCTGCAAAGCAGTTTGTTGGGGAAACCCCATCTCACCAGCGGAAACAGCTTTGCAGAGGTGGCAAAGAGGGAGTCAAACCTTGTTCCTCATGGGGAACAACAACCCCAGCAAATACTGAAGCAACTGAAGACACTGAAGTCAGAGGGGCTCTGGGTAAGGGAGATGGCAAGGGCATAACAAGAAGTGGACAAGACCATGGTACTGGAGTCTGAGGCCTAGTCAGGGGGCAAGGGGAGGAGGGGACAGGTGGTACCACCATCACCCCAACCCCGGTGCTGAAGATCCAGTGAGGAGCTGACTGCCAAGAGCCCTGGGTGGCTTTCCCCAGCAAGGAGCCCATGAAGAAAAGTTGGCATCAGGCACTAGAGCTGCTTTTTACTTTGACAACTCTTGTATTATTTTCAAGGAAAGAGAGAGAGGGAAGGATGTAGGAAAGAGCTTCCCACCAAAGCCACTTTCTTTGGTGAGTTTTGTGTTGAAGGCCCAGGGGAGAAAATGACAGAGGGAGTTACCCTTGACGCAGAGAACTGTCAACTTAGCTATTTAAGTACAAAGGGTGAAACTCCTGAGAACAGAGAACTGCAAGACCTCAGATTTTGTTTTCCTAATCCTTCTCAGTTCACTTATCATACTGAAAGTGCAGACCCGGTATCAGAGGGCCTGAAGCGCCAATGCCTGTCTTAAGCACCCAGCTGCTGGGAGATGACCTTGAATTTTGGTGCTACAGCCCACTCACATGCCTATTGCAGACTCAGTCACTGTGTCCAGGAAAACCTGGACTAGGGCGCTTTTGCAGCTGCTGTGTAGCTGTTGCAGTCACGGATCCAGTGATGTGTAACTGTTACATGATGCAACTCCGTG